TGTTTTCCAATTATATTGTTTGGGGATTCCTTCCTTATCAAGTAAAACTTCTTCTTCTTTTATTAAGTTAATTAGCCTATAAATTTTTGATTCATTGATACTTTTACTCGCGTGCATACCATATCTTGTTCTATGGTATATTCGTTGATGAGTATGGTATATTGGTCTGTCAGTTATTTCTGTATAGACCATAAATACTATCATTTCTTCTAGGCAACACATATATTGTCTTGTGTTCCAGAGTTGGTAGCCTTGTCTTTTTATAATTGGTTTGCAATAGAAGTTGCATTCGGTTAGTTTATTGATTTCTTCTTTTTTATAATATCCTGCTACTTTTGGATCATCAATTTTTAGTTCTTCAAATTGGATATGGTAGCATGTTTTGCAAAGTAATATTTTATCATAATGTTTTTTTACATTATCAGGGTTGATTACTTCAAAATCATTTAGTGTGAAGTGATTATTTTTTCTAATGAGTTTTGGCAGCTACAGCAATGATAGGTTGGTGAATTGTGTACTTCTTGGTGTGATTTATTTCTAAGTGTTTTCTATTGGTGGATTCTTTTGTTCATTACTTTTTTCTGGTTACATCTGCATGTTTGGGTGCATTGTACTTCAAAAAGATTATAGTATAGGTATTCTTGATAGTAGTCTTGGAAGCAATGCTTGCAAGTAAGTTGCCATCCTTTTTCAATTCTTGGTGACAATAGTGGTTGCTTTTCTGGTTCTTCCTGTTTCCAATAGTTTTTCATTTCTTTAGTAGTACTGGGTTTATTTGGACAATTCTTAGAGATATATACTTTTTCTTCACAAATTTTGCAGGTTACAATTGGGCAATATGAGTTTGGATGTCCTGATTTGAAGTAAATTCTACAAATTGTTTTTTGGTAGAGGTTAGGGCTGTTAATCAATCCAGTTCGGACCAACGATCCTTCGGTCCATCCAGAGATTGGGCTAGTCTGGTCCCTTTTAAGATGGACCGAAAGGATCGTTAGTCCTAATAGTAAATATCAAATAAAACTTATTATCTTGATAATACGCATTTTAAACCAACTATAAAATGCTGTTTTTAGTTAAATTTAAAAAAAAAGTTCATTATTGTCAATTACAAACCCCATAGTTTGTTAAACAAGATTAAACTATAATACATATATAATGAGAATGGGCTGCTGTTAATATTAATAAATAAAGAAATTTATTAATGACAACAATAAAGTAATCAGTTGATTTATAATTGCGGCATAAGTTTGAAACAAGCTAATAATTCATTTAGCTGAATGATAAGAATTATGATTTGCATTCTGCTAAATCAACTACTAGTTTACCTCAAACTTGTGTTCCACACCTATATGCAAATACAGTGTATTGTTCAAAATCTATATTAAGTGTAATCTGCTCGATTCGCATACAGTTTTGTATTATTATTGTTAAATTTATAGATTATCAAACTATTCAATATCGATATGCAAAATTCGTACTGATAAAGATTTATGTATAATGTGGATCATCTGGATTTAAACAAATCATACACTAGAGCTAGACAATAATCCAAAGATTACAACGCCAAAATATCACATACTAAATTTGGCTAATTAACTTAATAAAAGAAGAAGAAGTTTTACTTGATAAGGAAGGAATCCCCAAACAATATAATTGGAAAACA